AACCCACAAAGACCCCAGTGATCCCCCACCCCTCACAGAACCCACCTGCCTCTTGATCTCTCCTGCAGATCACGCATATGCCCTCCCAATCACTCCTGTGGATCACATCTGCCCCTTCCTCCCACCCCCCTGTATATGCTGCCTGCACCCCCTGATCTCTCCCAGATACTGCCTGGCCTGCAACCCCACTGATCATGCCTGTGGGTCCCACCTACTCCCTGCTCCCCAGTTGGATCCTACTTGCTCTCTGATCCCCTGAAGATATCCACCCCCCTGCAAGTCTTGTTGCTTGCCCCCCATCCTCCAAACTCCCCAATCCAACTTTTAATGTGATCTAACCTCCCTCAATAAGGGTAAGTGCAGGCAGAATAGGAGTAAGTAAAGGAATATTTTCAGCATGGACCATAGAAAGTAAGTGCAAAACTCATGTTTAATATCATTGTATCATCAGCCTAGTAAGAAAGTACTTACAGCAACCTAATCTCGAACAGCAGGATTTGACTGCCATTGATGCCAATGGCTGCCAATGCAATAGATATTTCTAAACGTGAGCAGCAGAAGCTAGCTAGCTAATACAATATTTAAGAATTCTTTAACTTCCAAATAGCCAGACAGAAATTGCCTTGTGTCCTTGAAATAAAGAGCTCAGTTTATACTTCTATTATACAAAATGCTCCAGTGCATTTGTTTAGGCTGTTCTGGAGGATATTAGATAATAAGTTTGATTCTTCTGTCAGTTAACTTCCTCAGCAATTTGCATAGAATTACTACCAACCTGTGAAATTTATACTTTTAAAATTATTTACATAGGATGTAACCACATTCCGAGATATTTCCCCAGTGAGACATCAGACATTGTTGTCTCAGAAAAAGCTAATAAAACCACCAATCCCCCAGCAACTATACAAAATTTCCTGTCTTAAAGCAGCAATATCCATCATGAAATTTAACTGTGACAAACACAAGATAATACACATTAGTAAAAACAATTTCAAGCAATTAACCTTTACTGGGTAGTAAATTAACTAGAACCATTAAGGAAAAAGACCTGTGCACAAGTATGGGAAGCTAACTGAAAGCATCTGCACAATGACAGACAGCTGCAAAGAAAGAGGAAAAGCAAAAGCAAACAAAATGTTCAGGTAGATAAACTGAGAGAAAGAAAACAGTACTAAAAATATTATATTGCGTGTAAATCAATAGACTCTTCCTACCTGGAGTATTGTATTGAATCCTCATTGCCTATCTCACAAAAAGTTATACCATAAATACAAAGAGTCCAAAGTCAGACAATAGTGATGAATAAGATTTAAAACAATACAACAGGGATAAGTGCAAAAAGTGATATGAATAGAGAATAAAAACATCTGAACAGTTAGGTTTAGAGTGGAGACAATTGAGAAGAGACACAAGGAGGATATAGGGTAATACCGGAGAAGAGAAACTGGACATTTCTATTTACCCTTTGTTACCACAAGGTCAGAGGAAGAGCCAATAAAGACGAAATATTTCAAGCTGTTCAAAATAAATGCATTTTTCAAAAACAGCCAATAAATACTTAGAATAAAATACACTGCCACAGAATATCATTGAGGCAAAAAGATTAACAGGATTCTAAAAATTAGGCTAAGGTACATGTAGCTCCCTACTGGAGCTACAATAGCTTCAATAAGATGCATGTATGTATGGCCCATATTATACTTAAGACACGATTAACCAGTTAATCATGTCTTATGTTGTTACCCAGCCATATGTTAATACAATTAAAGGCATGATAGAACAAGGAATAAGCCATAAAATTCTTACACAAAATATGCGCAATAACTTTGTGTCTGGTTCCTATCACACCATTAACTGAATGTGTGGCCAGAGTGGGGCTCCCATGCTTGGGACCCCAGATCAGCTGGGGGCTCCAGGCAGCGGCAGCACATGGTGAACCCCTGTGGCTGGGAGCCCCAGCAGCTGACAGGGCTGCCACTTGCCAGCAATGGGAGCATGCTGCTTGTGGCCCGGCTGGAAATGCAATTGTGGGGATCCCACATCAGATTCCATCACACCTTCACTTGCACATCTGCTAAGGGTCCATGAAACATATAACTTTCTTGGAACAGACTGATAGTAACAAATCTTTTCTCTTGGGTAGATTATTTTGAAATTTTCTGTATGGAGGTTTCTTTCATCTTCATTTGGTACCTATCATTAGTGGAGACTGCTGATGGACTATTGGCCTAATGTGGTATTACGGTTCTTTTGAACTAAATTATATACATAGAATTGACTTGCTCCTGTTTAGTACAGTCTTAACATTTTTAACAGTTTGTACCTGGGTGGACAATCCTTTTCACTGCATTTCTTTTGTCGTCCATTTGGTTGCATCTCTGGGTCACAGAACGTGTTTTTGATCACACCACTCCCCTTTCTCACACAGTGGGCAATCTGTCGCCTAATACCTGTGAGAGAGACATTTTTCTATGCATATTAAATTTTTAAAATTTTCTGCTAAGTTCCAAATAACAGGGATTGTTTTGGCATCTAACACCCATTCCAGTAGCAAGCAACATCTGCAATTATCAAAACATAAAGGAAAAAAAGAAACAAAGCTGAAGAGAAACTCTCGTGCTATACTTTGTTTTCTAAACAGGAGGAATGCTTCTTCCTAATTTACTATGTTCTTGATAGCATTGGAAGAAGAAGAGGCATATCCCAGTGTCTGACATATCTGAGTCACTGGAGGATGGGACACAACGCACAGATTTACAAAAAGTATTTAAGTTCTTTAAAAGAAGTTTCAGCCACAGAGATAATAACGGCTTAGCTACTCACTGAGACAGACAAATGTAATGCCTGCTTCTTAAGCTGAATGCTACATATCTGTTATTTGCCCTTGGTTCCCTTGTGCTGATATGAGGTTCAGGATGAACAATCTAAAAAATGTTCTCCCCTGAAAGCAATGAGTATTTTGTGAGGTAGGAAATCAACTGCATAAAGACCTTCGTGAGAACCCCAGCAGTGCCCAGCCTGCAATAACTGCAGTATGAAAAACCCACATCACCAATCATCTCTTTACTCCATGTGGAAATTAGCACACATACTAGTCACTCTGATGAGGTCCAATTGAGCTAAATGCATGTACCACCACAGCATACCCAATTGTGACAACTCATTAAGAAAGCTGAGTAAAACCAGCTTCACTGACTCGTTGTACTAAGTCACGCAGCAGTATTTTTAGCCTTTGGTCAAAACTGAGAGCGGGTAATGGGGGGCTCTGCTGAATTAATAAGCTCAGCTGACAAGTTAATAAGTAGTTTTCTTTACTGCAGTTAACTCATTAGCCTCCTAACTGCCACCTATGTACACTGAAGTCCCCTTAAGACACATGAATATCTGGGTTTTTTTGAAGCACGAGGAAAGGTTCACATTGTATTAGGAAAGAGGTATAAGAATAATTCCTCATGGACTGTAAACATGGATTGTTTTAGGATAAACTGGTGATTTTCAGAGGGTACACATGCACATTTTTTTAAATGTTTTTAATTAATACAGAATATTCTAGTAGATGGTATGAATTTTTGTATTCTACAGATGTGAGGCCATAAAGAAAAAATGTTATAGACAGTCACTAATGATTAAGCAGAGATACCTGATGCATATAAGGAACACAATACACTTTTTGCATAATACAGAAGACAACAACCTAGATTTTCATTTGGGGTAGTCTTAACTACAAGGAAAGTACACTGTTGTGTGTGTGTATAGGTAAAATAAGGGGTTTCAGTTTAACAGGTACACTGGAATCTACTTACAGTAAATCTCCACTTAAAGATCCAGATACTTCAGTGCATTTCAGTGGAGTTTCTCTCTCCTTATTGAAGCTTCACTCATCTTTAAAGTAAAGTTTCACTCTGCTATAAGCAGGTTCCAGTGTGCTAATCCCTTTAGAGCATAGCAATTTTCACTTAGCAATTCTCTTTTACCAGATAGCTGTTAAATGCTGCATTCTAAGGGGATTATTGTCCATCCATTTTCCTCTTCTGCTGTGGTTCAGAAAATAAAGATGGCTTTACGTTCTGGGCTGGGGTGAAGGAGTAATTTTGGTTTTGTTATAGATGATCCCTCTGGATATGAATGGCCTACTATTTTATCCACCAGCTATAAGGCATTTAAAAGCAAACAGCAGCAACAAAACCAAAAACAGTAGAAAGTTGTGTAGCCCATTTCTTAAACAATTTAGCCTGTTTCCTTTATCTTGTTCAGCTGTTTCTTATAGTTAATCTTCACAAATAAATTTTCATCTCTAAAATCCCTCATCACTCTCAATATGTTTAACTTATCTGGTATTATAAAACAATTTTCCCATTTGTGACTGAGATTAAAACTCCTTACAACTGAAGCACTGGAATACTCTCTTCCTATGTTGTTTGAAGTCAGGTGGTGAATCTGTCTGCTTTGGACCATTTTAGGAGAGACCTATATCATTTACATTTTCTTGTTCTCATAGAGCAGGAGTGTTGAATACCATATTTGAAAGCTTATTCTTTTTTGAGGAAAGGATTGCAAATTCCTTTTCCCATGTCTTTCTAGGGTGGGAAACGCTGAGAATTTGATTCCCGTTTTCATCTGCCTTTTAGGAGATAAGGACATATACTTCCTCTTTTGTACTAAAAGGGAGAAAAATCTCAGCAGCTTATGCGCACAAGGATTAAAGGTAAATGCTGTTGTCATGTTCCCTGGACTACATATCCAGTCTGAAGGGATCTGTGGCTGGGAATAAGGTTGGATGGGTGGCTAGTTAATGAGCCACCCATGCATTATCGTCCGCCCGTTTTCCTCTTCTGCCATGGTTCAGAAAATAAAGATGGCTTTATGTTCTGGGCTGGGGTAATGCATCAGCTTTTTCATATCTGCAGCTATTGGTGGTTTAGAAAACTGATAAAAAGGAGTGTTTGGGGATAGACCTCCACCTTTGAAACATGGTTAGATTTGATGTTTGATGACAGTGCATCTCTGATTTCTGTTCTCCTTGTCCAGAATGGGTGCCTATGTTGTGTTCTAACCATTTTGTAGGCCTTAAAAATGCACAGTAAGTTTGACCCTGTAAATTTACACAAGATATATTATTATGGATACTTTTCTCCCCGTGTTGAGTTGTAGCCTATCTTTTGATGCAATATTTGTACAAGAATAGATCTAAACTTTTGGTTATAAATGAGAATTTTTTGTGATATATTATCCGTTAGAACCAGAGATTAACCATGAATAAGAATGTTCTCTATGTTGTTGTTATACTTTTGCCAAATATGTAGAATATATCTTTTGGAAAAGGATCTTGTAAAGGATTCCTGAATGAAACTACGTTTTTTTTTTTAAATTTATTAATGTGGAAAATTCTAATCTTTCTCCAAATGCTAACAGCTAACTCAAAATTGTTTGACTATGTAACATGTAACCAATACCGTATTGATTGTTGTCAGTGCTGCTTGGGTCTTAGTAGCTTTTTAAGCCTGAGTAAAGAATTATTTTCACTCTCCACATTTGAAATATTAATTTTTTGTGTATATTTCTCTCTTGTTTATATTTCTCTCTTTTGTCCTAATACACATTTATCTTGGACATCTCCAGCCAAAAGATCTCTCTTTAAGAGACACCCCAAAGTCAAACTTCAGTAAAATATAATGAGTTTCATATATTTTATTTAAACTACAATGAAACCAATTTTTAAAAATATTTTCTTCCCATGTTTCCTAACTAATTGTCTTGTTACGATGGGCAGCCAGAAACAAAACAAAAAGTGTAAACAGATATAAAACTGAATCAAGTGAATTTATTTTGTGAAATGAAATGAAGAGCATTGATGGTAAAACAAATCAGCTTATTTGCTAATTTAAATGATTTAAATGTACATATTAGAGTAAAAATTCAAACTTGTCAAGATGTATTCCTTAGTTTAGTTGTTTTAAGTTGGATCTTCAGTAAAGAGGCTTGTACTTGTAGATCCTGACATGTAGTCAACTTTAGATGTGTACTTAACTGACTTTAATGCAGCCACTCAAGTGGATGCATTTTTCAGAAACAATGATTTGAAAAACAGGCCATGCTTCTTCAACTTTTACATTTATCTGTGACAGCTTCAGAGTATATGATTTTAGAACATGCGACAGAAGGCAGCGTTTTTACAGGGCTCCCAATCCTTCTAGTGTAATCAGTGATAAAGCTCTGCCTTTCTTTAGAGTTGAATTTAGATTTATAATTCCATAGCAGGATGGTCTGCTTGAAAATATAGTCCATCAGTTGAATATCAAATTGAGTATAGCAATCTTTTATTTTCTGTTAATCAGCTAGAATGAATATAACTGTTCAGAATTCTTAATAAATTAATAACAGAAATTCTTTACTAAAATGTCACTGCAAAATTAAGATGGTTATGGAAAGCTAATTTATATTATGTAAAAATACCCAGTACCATTTAAAAGTTGCAATAAGGAGCTTAAAACTATCTGGTGTTTCATACTAATTATATGTGAGCTCTTTGGCTACTTATGTAAAGAATTATTAAAAAAAGAAAAAGAAAAAAACAAAACAAAACAGCTGAAGTGACACGAGTTCCAGTTGGGGAATCTGAAAGCAGATATTTCGTGCATGATTTGTATTGAACTGCAGTTGGAATATATAATTCTGCAGTAGCAATTGTGTAAAGTCAGGTCAAATTGCACATGAAGAATGAACACGAATTATGTTTGTCTTTGCAACTGATGTCTGCACACGTGCTAGCATATTGGCCACGTACAGGCATTCAGTTTCTATTGGGAGAATCATTGTTCTCCCATCAGAAAACAAAAGTGTACAGACATTGAAGCTTTTTCTACCAGAATAAAAATGGCCACTTTAGGAGAAAAATAACCTGGGAACAAGCAAGGTTAAATTTGCTTCCAGGTGTCTGAATGTCTGCACACTTTCCCTCAGCTTAACACTACCTCAGCTTAATGCTCCTGATAACTTCCAGAGACTGGGGACTCCAGTCTGGAGAAGGCACAGGGGTTAGTTGCTTCCTTCATCCCACAGATAGGGAAGAGAGGAGCAGCCACTAGCTGCTTCCCATCAGGTTCTTACAGCAAAGTTTCCGGTGTCAGAAGCAAGCAGTGGCTTTGCTGCACTGGTCCGTCTGCTTGGCTCTCGGACGCTGGAGCCAAGCACAGGGAGCACTGACCTGTAGGAGTGCAAGGAGCAGGGGCTGTTCTTCTCTTGGAGAAAACTGGGAGGGTTTCTACTATGAGAGAATGCCCCTTCCTTTGCCAGTCAGCTCACTGGTGGGATGGCGGGCATTCTCCCAGGTGGATCCCTCCCAGGACTGTCTGTGTCACCTGCTGCTTTTCATCAGCTGCCAACTACTACTTGACAGGCTGTTTCCTTTCCAGGCAGGGGAGAGGACAGGCTGTCAAGCAATGAGCTTTCC